CCAAAACCCAAAAAAAAAAAAAAAAAAAAAAAAAAAAAAAGTGAACTAGCTGAGAAACAGTTCAGGAAAACAATTTAATTCATAATCATTAAAAAAAAAAAAGCCTACGGACCAACCTAACGGAGGAGGTGAAAGAGCTCTACAAAAAGACGCTAAGAGATGAAAAGCCCTCAACTGGACATGTGGCACACACCTATACTTCCAGTGCTGTGGAGGCTGAGGCAGGAGGAGGACAAGTTTGAGGCCAGCTGGGGCCATTTAGCAAGACCTTATCTAAAAAATAAATAAAAAGGAAAAGGAAAGAACGTCCTTGTTCATGGATCAGCAGAATTATTTTGCTTTGTTTTTTGGGACAGAGTCTCACTACGTATTCCAGGCTAGCCTCAAATTCGTGGTGATCTTCCTGCCTCAGCCTCCTGATTGCTGAGATTGCAGGTGTGTGCCAACACACCCAGCTGGAATGAATACTGTTAAAATGGCCATGGAATCAAGAGCGATCTACAGGTTCAGTGTAATCCCAGTGACATTCTTCACAAAACTAGAAAACACAATCCTGAAATGCATACGGAAAGACAAAAGACCCAGAAGAGCCAAGCCAATCCTAAGCAAAAAGAGCAAGGCTGGCGGTATCACAATACTCGATTTCAAATTCTACTGCAAAGCATCGTAACAAAAACAGCGTCGTACTGGCCCCAAAATAGACATGCAGACCAATAGAATAGAATAGAGGACACAGAAACAAACCCACATAACTGTAGCCATCTGATTCTAGACAAAGGAGCCAAAAACATGTTGCAGAAAAGACAGCCTTATTAACAAATGGTGCCAGGAAAACTGGAAATCCATTTATAGAAGGTTGAAACTAGACCCCTATCTCTCATCCAAAAAACAAAATCAACTCAAAGTGGATCAAAGACATTGGTATAAGCCTTGAACCCCTGACACTACATAAGGTGATATAGGGAACCCCTGGAAACCACTGGCACAGATAGACTCCAACCGCACAGGAAGTAATAGCAGCACTCAGCTAATGGGGCTAAACTAAAAAGTTCCTGCACAGCAAGGAAAACTGACAGTGATGAGAATGGGAGAAAATCTTTTCCAGACACTCGTCTGACCAAGAGTTAATACCTAGAATATACAAAGAACTCAAAACTCCCAACACTAGACCTGTGCGCCTGCAGTTCCAGCACTCCGGGAGGCTGAGGCAGGAGGATCACTAGGTTAGAGCACTTCCTGATCAATTTACATGACCCTGTCTTAAGACTAAAAATGTGTTGGGGATGTAGCTCAGTGTGAAGGCTCTGGGTTCAATCCCTAGTATCAAAAACAGAACAAAGCAAAGCCGGGCGAGGTGGCGCACACCTGTAATCCCAGCATTCGGAAGGCTGAGGCAGGAGGATCGCTGTGAGTTTGAGACCAGCCTGGGCTACCTAGGAAGGTCCAGTTCAGTTTCAACTACATAGTGAGACCCTTTCTCAAAAACAACAATAAGAACAACAAAAAACAGAACAAAACAAAACAAATCAACAAATACCTTTAACACCAAAAGTCAAACAGCCCAATCAATAAATGGGCAAACAGGGCCCGGGGGTTTAGCTCAGTGCTGCTGCCTCAAAAGCGCAAGGTCCCCGGTTTGATCTCCAGTACAAAAAACAAAAACAAAAACAAAAACCAAACCAAACCAAACCAAACCACAACAACAAAAAGGGCAAATGAATTGAATGAGTGCTTTTCGAAAAATAGCCAGTAAGGCCGGGGATTTAGCCCAGAGGTTCTGCTGCCTGCCTCCTAAGCACAAGGTCCCGAGTTTGACCCCCAGTAGCAAAAAAAAAAAAAAAAAAAAAAAGCCAGTATGTATTTGAAAATATGTTCAACATCTCCAGTTCTTAGTGAAATGCAAATCAAAAATTACATTGAGAATCGGGGAATTGGCTCAATGGTTTCATCTTCTGGCTTGCAAGCACAAGGGCCTGAGTCCGACCCTGGTATTAAAAATATGTATTACACTGAGCTGGGGGTGGTGGTGCACACCTGTAATCCCAGAACTCTGGAGGCTGAGGCAGGAGGATCACCAGGAGTTTGAGGCCAGCCCGGGCTACACAGTGAGTTCAAGGCCGGTCTAAACTACTGAGATTCCACCTCACCCCAGTCAGAATGGTTGTCCTCAGGAACACAAAACAATAAATGCTGGTGCGGATGCAGGGACAAAAGAAATCTTTCTACACTGCTAGAATGTAAATTAGTACAGGTTGTAGGGAAATCAGTACGGAGACTCCTCAAAAATTAAAACTAGAACTGCCCTGTGAGCCAGATAGAGCATTCCGCGGCACACACACAAAGGAGTCTTCGGCCACGGGAAGGTGCCTTTACACCATGTTTATTTCAGGCCAAATCTCCCTGGCCAAGCTGTGTACCAGCTTAGGTGCTCATCGGGGTGAGCAGATACAGGTTGTAGGGAAATCAGTACGGAGACTCCTCAAAAATTAAAACTAGAACTGCCCTGTGAGCCAGATAGAGCATTCCGCGGCACACACACAAAGGAGTCTTCGGCCACGGGAAGGTGCCTTTACACCATGTTTATTTCAGGCCAAATCTCCCTGGCCAAGCTGTGTACCAGCTTAGGTGCTCATCGGGGTGAGCAGAGGAAGCTAACGTGGTTCTGTGCGCACCGCGGAGCATTGCTTGGGCCTAAAGGAGGAGGAAATTAATTGTGTCGTCTGCAGGAAAATGGACGGATCGGAGGTCGTCAGGTTAAGTGAAATAAGCCGGACTCAGGAAGACTAACGAGATCATTCTTCCTCATACGTGGGTTGGACAAAAGGTGACATGAAAGGAGAGACCGTTCTTAGACGAGAGGAGTAAGGAAAGGGAGGGGTACCGGGAATGGATACGACCCAATCTGTTATATGAGTTGAAACCCAATATTCTGTAAACTCAGAGAGCACTGACGAAATACAGTTTTATAAGAAGCGCGTCGGGGCTACCAGCTGCCAGGAGTAGTGCTCTAGCCGTGGAAGCTCAGCGAGCCCTCTTCACCTGAGAAGCGCGTGCCTTTCAGTCCTACTGTACCAGGGTGGAAGGGACTGGGCCAAGGTCACACGCCCGGCGTGGAGACCCGAATCTGACAGCACGATGTCCCAGCCCCACACAGACCCTGAGGCTCCGCCCTCCGGCCGCAGCCCCCTCCTGCGCTGCTTGCTCTGGTCTCCTTGGCATTTGCTGCACCCTCTGCCAGCCACGCTGTTCTGAGACGCTGCCCGGCTCACCCCTCCAGGACTTCACAGGTCCTCCCTGGCACGCGTCACACAGAACCACAGTATTTTTGTTTGTTGTGCTTGTTTACTGTTTCCCACACAACAAGAATGTTAGTTCCACCAGGGCCAGGATTTGTTTATGGCTCTGTCCTGGCTGCCAGCTTGTATCTGAGTTCAGTAACGTACTAAGGACAGTTGGGGGTGGTGGCTCACGCCTGTAATCTCAGCACTCTGGGAGATGAGGAAGGAGGATCATAAGTTCAAGCCCAGCCTGAGCAACTTAGACACTGACTCAAAACAAAACATCAAAGAAAGGCCAGGGAGTGTAGCTTGGCACAAAGGCCCTGGGTTCAATTCAAATAAATCTTTTAAAATGCAGCAAAGACCACAAAACACTTGGCTGAGCTGTGCCTGGTGGTGCACACCTGAATCCTCAAACTTGGGAGGCTGGAGCAGGAGGATCGCTGTATTTCCAGACGAGGACCGAATGTGTGATGCACTCAAGCCCAGAGAGGCACCAACACCATGCTCACCACCTGGGGGCTGAGGCAGCAGACACAGGCAGTGTGGTGGCCAGGCCAGCTCCCCCCAGACTCGGCTGTCAGTGCTCGGGGACACAGGGCCCAGGGGCACTGCGGAGGCTGTGTGAAGCCCTGGGCATCTCCCTGATGAGCAGCGGGCAGGCAGGGCACCCGGGGACCGGCGGGGGAGCTGTAGCTGCCCCCACACAGGTCCTGAGTGCGGGCGGGGCGGGACAGGAGGCAGATGGGTGGGGACCTGCTGGGACGCCCCTCAGGACGCAGCCACCCCCCAGCTGGCCAGCATCCGTCACATTGCCCTGCTCGCTGGCTTTCTGGCACTTGTCACCTCCTGGGGTGGCTTCATTATCATCCCCACTGCCTGGACAAGGAAAGAAGCTCCGAGAAAGCAAATCACCCTCCCCAGGTCACGTGGCCTGGAAGTGGTGGCCACGGGACAGGAGCAGGTGCACACGCCCCCTCCACAGCCCGAGAAGGCTGGGCAGGAGCTCCCTCTGCACCCAGCCTGCCAGGAGGGACAAGATGCCATGCGGCAAAAGTCACGCTCGGGCCAGACGAAAGCTGCAGACTACATCTGTCCACACCTCACTGCCATGTGCCCTGGGCCTTGGCACCCTCGCCTGTATATGGAGGGAGCCGAGGTATCTTGAGAAGCTTATATGGTACGTGCTCTGAGGGTCTGGCTTTCCTTACTACCATGATTCACTGGGAGTCCTTCATACAAGCCTGTGCACCAGCAGCTCACCCTTTTCAGTGCTGAGTAGTACTCCGTCCACCACTTGGTAGACCATAACAACAGCCCCTCTGGCTCTCAGATATTTGGGTTGGGCTGCTTTGAACATTCATGTCCACCACCGAGTAAGAACAGACACCCTCGTTCCTCTGGGTGAAGAAGTCAGATGCTTTGTTTTTAACGCGATGGTATTGATCACTTAAGGCTCCCAGGCTCTGTGCCAGCACCTCAGATGTTTATCTCCTGTAATCCCTAAACTGCCGGGCCACGCCAGGCAGTAACACATCTTATCTCCTTAATTGGCCTAAGCTTTTAATCCTCGCAAATAATAAGGATGATGATAAGAGAAACAGTCCTTGCGACAATGGACATGCGTGGGATGCCTCTTGCGCCGTGGTGCTCACTGCACGCGTGAGACGGCGAGGCTGGGGGCTCAGCTCCCACTCCCTAAGGGCGGCTGGGCAGACTTCCTTCCGAGGACACGGAGGGACAGAGTGACTTTTACAGCAGAGACGCCTGCAAGGGCTGTCCGGGCCAGCGGTCACGGCCACATCACCGCAGCGAGCCCTGCCCATCGCAGCCCCGCGCGTGACGACACCCAGCGCCTGACGGGCTGCACCGAGCGCTTCCGGCCCTAGTTACTCTTTCAAGTACCGCGAATCCAGAGGAGGGGCGTCCTGCGAGACACCTGACCGGTTCTTAAAGCCGTCAAGGTCCCAAGAGAGCAAGAAAGGAGCGAGAGACTGCAGACCGAAGAGCCAGAGTTAGTGGGATTCTAGATGGGATCCGGGATCAGGAGAAGGACACCAAGTCAGCCAAGGCCATGCAGTTTACAGTGTATCCTGCCGCCGGCGCCGGCTCACTCACTGTAACAACGCGGCATACACTGAGAAGTTCAAACCCGCCAGGAGCAGGGTGGTTGCCAGGCACAGGGCTCGTCCAGCATGCTCGAGGCCCTGGGCTCAATCCTGAGCCCTGCAGAAAACACACTGCGCATAAAACGTGTAAAAACAGGAAAGTGGGAGCCCAGGGGCAGTGTTTAGGGGCAGTGTGTACAGCTGCTCAACTTTTCTGTATATCTAAAACTGTTCTAAAACAAAATCTATTAA